ATTCACGCATCGAATGAATTTGAATCGAATTATGAAACAGAATACACACCATACATTTCACTCTGGGGGTTTTCTTGCTACTGCATCACCGTCCTGCCTTCACGGTAGGAGCGGAAAATGATCCCGACACAAATAAATTGCACGTGCTAACCACAGTGCGTGTGAAAGTCCAGTGTGGCCACCCCGAAGCTAGTAATTCGGACCCACCGTAGTTTGGACCCAACAATTCAGACCCACTTTTAGTAATTTGGACCCACTTTGGTAATTTGGACCCACCACATTTTCGAGCCAATTTTTAACTGATGTATTTCTAATATTCATTATAACAGTATAATAATACATATTTAGATACTTCCGTATAGCAACTTGTAAACCGTCAATCGGCCACCCCTAGGGCCACTACATTACCTTATGGTACCTGCTGGTATTATTAGCTCTTGATACATACAATATATAGACGTGGCTCGTACTGCGCGCGGCAGCGCTGTGCAAAGGTCTAACTCGGTTCGTTGTTGACTCGTGCTAAACTGCGGGCCGCAGGGGGAGACTCACAAGGCGGCGAGCTAACACTAACAGGTTCTGTATCTGGGGAGCGCGCGGAACTAGGATAGGCTCTACTATTAGTGGACGGTGACGCGACGGTCATCGATGAACTATAAAGATCGCGTCGTCGCACGCATGTCCACGGGGCTGCCATTCATTTAGCAGAAGCGACTACACGTGATGACATTCGTTACTGCGGCAGGCATGAGGGTGGCGCGGCGTCGCTACACAGTCACGGCGAGCGTGTTGGTGTGCAGCGCATGCTGCCTGCTCTGGATATACACGTGCCTTGCGTCGGAACTGGAGAGTTTCGAGAGTCCCACCTGGAGGTGAGTGCAGGAGCAATATCGTAGGGTTTTCCCGCTTCCATTTCCGATCCAAGCACGCCGTTAGGTTAGGTCGTTTGTCGGTGGTGGCCAAAGCTCTGTCTTTGGGGAGGGGGGTGGTGAAGGCGTTGCTGTCATTGTAGGAGCCATGCAGCTATGGCAACTGCGTCAGAATTAACTGCGTCTGCCTCTGACGTTCTTGTGGCGTTACGGCTGTCGTATCACCCCAAATCTTACGGTTTTAATCGACGGAGAACTATAACTCCGACTCCCGTACATCGCTGTCCGACGTGCATTAACACGCTGTGCTTACATAACCCTATGTAACACGCGGAAAGAGAAACGCTTAGTACGGCTGAAGTGGTCATTGTCGTATCAGGTACTACTGTACATATATGTACCCGAGATACATATATGTATACACAAAGTGTACCAGACTTGTACTACAGAAGTACACCCTAACCCTAAACATATCTCATATAAAAATATAAACATAATACTAAACAACCAAAAACTACTTCGGGTACATATATGTAGTACCTGATACGACAACGACCCTTCGTGCCTTAATTAGTACGTGTTGGAACGTACACGTATATATGCACCGTCCATAAATCCGCCACCTCTATATACTTATAGTACCGGGAGGAAAACCCGTAAAGGCGTCGTCATACGCAGTAAGCAACGACCGTGAAAAGTTATTGCTGTCTCACGCGCATGCGTGCTGGACTGTGGGGGGAATCTCACTGTTACGTAGGCTTATATCCATATATGCACTGCTGCCGTCTATCCTTTCATCCGTCCTCTCTCGCTCTCTCTCTCTCTCTCTCTCTCTCTCTCTCTCTCTCTCTCTCNCCCCCCACACACGACACACACCACACACACAGACAGACCTCTAGCCATCTCTCCTCTTCTCTCTCTCTCTCTTCACGCATACCACACACACACACACTCGGCAATCAGCAGAAGAACTGACGAGGGGTCCCGTCTACATTGATGCTGGACCGATGGCTATCTAGGGCAAGGTTCGCAGCGGCAGTCGTACCTACATAACCGGAACTTGCGGGCGAAACACACGCATCCTGTTTAATCGCTCTCGCTGAACGCCAGCATCCCGGCACAAGCAGTTGGAACAGAGTCAGTAAAAAAATGAAAATTAATATGCAACGCACAGTTCACAAAAACTACCCCTTTATTACAACTTCTACTGTTGTGTCCACTGTATATCCAAACTTTGCTTATCACAAAAAGTCTGCAACTGCAATGTAGAACTATAGCCGCTCCCGCCACTCGCCGTTGCGAGTGGGCTGCGGCGCTATTATGTATAATATTATTTTCAGTTTTTACTGACTCTGTCCCAAGTGCCTGTGATGCACAGGTACTGGAGTTGTTCAGCCGAATTAGTCCGTACTCGCATAACTAGAGAACTCCGCAGCCTAGAGGAAAACTAAAGATATTTTCAGAATCAGCACGTCTGGGAGCTGGTCTGCTGAAACAAAAATTTTTAACAAAGATTAAAAAGTGCGTACAAATTCGATAAAACAATCCTATTCATCAATAGATGCGGCTGCGTACACGTACGTGTTGCAATCCATTAGTGGTATATTCCGTAAAGGGCATAGTAGACTCTAGCATGTTTACGCATACAAACTTCTTACTGCTATAACAAATTGTCATATACCCACACGTATTTGTTACCAGATACCTAATTAATTGTTATAATTAATTACACATTCAACGCTACGAAATTTGAACGGCCGCCATGACACCGCGACCGTGCTGCCCACTCCGAAAAAGTCTCTGGCCGTATTTGCTACAATTATTTTGCACGTTACAGACCGAGGGTATAATCACAAAAGTGCAATTATATTTATTACCTAAATGCTATTACAACGAACGAATATCATTTTAGAGGCAAATTTATCCGATATTATAACTGAAACACTATATGTCGTTTTATAAGATATAATCTTCATCATTACCCTTACTCTTCCCCCTCTTTTCCCCATTTTTGCTTTTTAAATTAATTAAATAAGAAAACCACCCTCGGTCTGTAGCCCTTGCCTAAAAAGTGGTTTGCCCGAACTCATCAGATCGTGCCGCTTAGTGGCGCCACCGTCGTTGCTAATAAAACTTGTAGTCGCTCTGTTAGTTTTAAAACATAAAACAAAAAATTTTCTAATGATGCATTTGACCATGAAATTTTTATATAGGCCTTAATTTTAACCTAAATTACTGAAAATAACTCTAGAACCTAGAGTAAACGATCCCTTTAACGGCCGCAGTGGCCTAACTCGCTAGAACAATCGTCTCCTACACCTGCGATTCGGTTTCGAGTCCCAGCTGCGGGCAACTTATTTTCCCTTTTTTATTTTTTTCCCTTTACCTACCTCTTTAGTATGATTAATTTTACTTTTTTTAAACTTTTATGTCTTTATTTTTTAATGTCTTTTATCTCTTTGATTTCTTATTGATTTTTTCACTGTTTGGCCATGGGATGGAGTGGAATCGCATGCAGATGGCATGCGATGGCATGTGGCATGCGATGAGATGGGATGGCGATATGCGGCATGGGATGGCGCATGAGATATGCGGGTGCGATGGGATGGATGGGATGGGCCATGGATGGGATGGGATGGATGCTGCGATGAGCATCGGATGGCATGTGAATTGGGATGGATGGCATGCAGTGCGATGCATGATAGATAGATAGGTTGGATTTGTTTGCGCGTATTTTTTCCTGGCAAACCAAGCCGGTCACCAACTGAGTAACGCACGTGATTTCCCCGGGCAACGCCGGGTATCCCGCTAGTACTTCTATATGCGTACTGCCACTTGGTTATTGCTATTTCAGAGCCAATGCTGCCGAGTTACCGGTGTATCTAGGTGTGCACAACGACTTTCCCAGGTGGAGAGAGTTGCCACCTCAACCCCGAGCGAAGTCAATAGAAGCAGCAGTAGTTGCCCAGCAACCGCCAGCTTTCCGTCACGTGAGAGACGCCGACATGAAGAAACTGCCATGACTATGATTACAGCTGCGAATGGGAGAGATGTTAAACACTACATAATACCTCTAAATACAAACAGTAAGTTAGCAATAACTAGAAATATATATATATAAAATATATATGTATATATATATAATAACTATAACAGGGAGTATATAGCAAATGATGCACTATATTTGATGTTTTAATTGATCTGGCAGCAGGCAACAGGCAGGCAGGTGAAGGTTGTGGAACTACATTAGATACAATAATGTAACCCAACCTACTCTTGTTGGGTACATTATTGTATCTAGAACTACATAAGCGTCTGTCCGTCCATCAATGCCTCAAACAATAGCAAACACGTGTTTATGCAGCTTCATCTATACGGTGAGCATATTCCAGATGTAGAAGACTAAAAAGAGGAGCAATCCAAAATGTCGGGCAAAGACGCAGTTAAAATGTTCTCTTGGTTTAAACATATAATGGGAGGGTATATAATGATAACATAATACATGTAATGATAATAAAAATATCACAATATCGAATGCGTTTTTTATCGGGAAACTCCTTTGAGTCATTTCAGAACCTTTGTGGCATTTTTCGCGGCTTTATGAAAAGTACGCAATTTACCATGAAAGTTCCCATGCATATGCGAAGGGTTATGTCAAAGAGAAAGCCAAGCTTGTAATTCCTGACCCTGCATATTAAATGTGGAAAGCACAGTGACAAAAATACCTGTGCCTGTTGTAATTTCACGTTCGCACAGTTCCATGTGTAAGTTCATGTGTAACATCAAAACGAAACGGATAAATAGCATAAAGTGATGAAGTAATTATGATATGTACACACACATGAAGTGTGTGTATATATTATACTTCGTGTCAAATGCGTTGTACACTTGTAATTTCACGTTCCGCACAGTTCCATGTGTATGTTCATGTGTAACATCAAAACGAAACGGATAAATAGCATAAAGTGATGAAGTAATTATGATATATACACACACATGCGTTTTACACTTTATGACACTGTAATTAGTGGTTGTCAACATCGCAATGATGTTCCTGGTCATTAAGCCTAGCGCACACACCCGAGCAAAAACGGAAAAAATGTTTGTTCCAGGCCTGTTTCGCGCTTCTGCGTCGGCGAGCACAAGCGCACACACGCCACCCGACAAAGCACACAGCTGAGCAAAACATACAGAAACATAGACTGGTACCCGGTCGACAGTTCCACACGCTACACTGAAGCTTACCGGTAAGCGCCGTTTAAAGCTGCGTAGCTATGTTGGCTAGCTGCGACTGGACCAATCGCCTCCAGTTGTAGGCTTCCTGGAAAATTGGTCCAACCTAGGACTGGTACCCGTTCGCCACCTTCACTCCGGCAAGTATCCTTCGCTACACCATAGATATATACAACACATGTGTTGTATATATCTATGGCTACACTGACCGTATGGATTAGGGGTAATGCTCACTGATCTCTATAATATAATTATATTATTGAGATTATATTGTAGAGATCAGTGGTAATGCTATCCCCCGGGCGTGGAGGGAGGTTACCGCAACGTGGCAGCACTAGTGTTAGGGTTAGGGTTAGGGTTAGGGTTTTTTTGCATCATGATATCTGTATTGTAAAGAGGTAGCGGCGATCTTTACCGCATCCCTCCACCAATTGTTGCTACTCTGTATTTAGCCTATTCCTTGGTGGCAACTTGAATACGGGGCTCGCTGATGAGCATGCCGCGGTGTTGCATTCGGCATCCTCAAACATCAACTCTAGTCGAATCACAGCGGTATGAGGCGGTATACAGAATGGTTAGTAGGTTCGCGTGCGACCGTCAGCTTATTATACTGCCAGCCGAAAACCGGCAATTAACTGATTTGTGCAGGAATTCTAAAACTAGATTTCTTAGCCGCTGAGACAGCAAGCGATGCGGCCGCGCCGCGTCTGGTCACAGCGCGCTCGCGCTCACATATTCTCATTCCTGCTGATTTCGTTATGCGTCGCGTCACCTGGCCGTCCAGCTTGTCACCGCTATTGTCCCAACGCTCAGAGACCGTCACCATTTGTCACCGCTTGTCACCGTTGTTGTCCTGAACGCTATAAGCGTCGCCTCAAGACGCGGTAACCGCTTGTCAATTCTATAGTGGCGCCAAGGTGCGACGTGCCAGGCGTCGCCTCCTGTCGCCACCGTTTGTCAATACAATAATAGTCCCCACACCATAGATTAATTTTTGTGGATCACAGAACCTATATATAGCGCTCCGAGATATATATGTTTAGTGTTTGGGTTAGCGTTGGAGGTGCTGGAGTTAGCGTTACCTGATGAGAGTAATGATTTTGAAGTATATCGTCAACTGTATCACGTGACCCTCCCTCCACGCCCGGGGGATAGCAACACCCATAGATTAGGCCGTACCGGTCGTCAGTGTATCGTAGGATATATGCCGGAGTAAAGGTGGCGAACGGGCACCAGTCTAACAGAAACACTGCGTACAGCGCGCTGTCACATGACATCAAAATAGCCATCCATGGACATCCAATTTTTGTGTCTCATGTGATATATTTTAAGGATATTGATTGGAGACCGCTCTGTGGCGTTTCGCTGTGTAGCAGAGCGATTGACGCCACACACCCGAGCAAAACGTACGCTCAGGCGGAAAACACGTGCGTTCGCGAATTCAAACATTGTTTGTTCAGCGAAACACGCTCAGCTGAGCAATGTTTTTTGTTTCGGAATCCGCACACAGCACGAACATCGAGCGAAACACGTTTTGCTCCACGTTCAGTGTGTTTGCTCGCGGTGTGTGCGCTAGGCTTTAAGCCTGCGCGCACACGGTGTGTTTTGTGCTGCCGCCATTCGGCCACGCGTGCGCTGATGGCGCAGCCACAAAACACAAAGTGTGCGCGTGCAAACACAGCGATTTCTTGCGTGTGGAAAATATCACACGTGTTTGATATTTTCTTCCACGTGTTGGCAGATTCCACACCGTGCGGTGTGCCTGTGTCAAGTTCCACACCGGCTCTATGTAACGCCACCAATAGCAGCAGGTCAAGCGAGTCACGTGATCTTAACTTGCCGGTTGCAGGCGCGCGTTGCACTGCGGTACACGCACGTACACGCAGATACACGCACGTACACGGGGTATACGGCACGTACACGCTGGTACACGCACGTGCACGCGGGTACACGCACGTACACGCGGGTTACACGCCACGTACACGCACGTACACGCACTACACGCACGTACACGCACGTACACGCGGTACACAGCGGATACACGCACGTACACGCACGTACACGCCGGATACACGCACGTACACGCGGCGTACCGCACGTACACACAGTACACCACGTACACGCGGGTACACGCCACGTACACGCACGTACACGCACGTACACGCACGTACACCGCGGGTGCACGCGCGATACACGCACGTACACGCACGTACACACGCGCGCGTACACGCGGATACACGCACGTACACGCGGGTACACGCGGATTACACGCACACGTACACGCTGGCGTACACGCACGTACACACAGATACACGCATGTACACGCGGGTACACGCACGTACACGCAGGTACACGCGGGTACACGCGGATACACGCACGTACACGCGGGTACCGCACGTAACACACAGATACACGCACGTACACGCCGGGTACACACACGTGCACGCGGGGTACACGCACGAACATACACGCGGGTACACGCAGATACACGCACGTACACGCACGTACACGCAGATACACGCACGTACACACGATACACGCACGTACACACGGGTACACGCACGTATGCACGCACGGCCGCTGGGTACACGCACGTTACACCGGGTACACGGAGATACACGCCATTGTACACCGCGGCGTACACGCACGTGCACGTGCGTGTACCCACGTGTCATAGTGCGTGTATCTGTGTGTACGTGCGTGTACGTGCGTTTACCCGCGTGTACGTGCGTGTATGCCCTGTGTACCGCCGTGGTACGTGCGTGTATCTTCGTGTACGTGAGGGTACCCGCGTGTACGTGCGTGTACCCGGTGTACGTGCGTGTATCTCCGTGTACGCGTGTACGTGCGTGTATCTGTGTGTACGTGCGTGTATCTGCGGTTGTACGTGCGCTGTACCCGCGCGTGTACGTGCGTGTACGTGCGTGTATCTCCGTGTACCCGCGTGTACGTGCGTGTCACCGCGTGTACGTGCGTGTATCTGTGTGTACGCTGCGTGTATCTGCGTGTACGTGCGTGTACCGCGTGTACGTGCGTTACGTGCGTGCATGTATCCGCGTGCTACCCGCGTGTACGTGCGTGTACTCGCGTGTATCTGCGCTGTATCCGGTGTACCCGCGTGTACGTGCGTGTATCTGCGTGCTACGTGGAATGTACCCGCCGCTGTTACGTGCGTGTACCGCGTGCTTCTACGTGCGTGTATCTCCGTGTACCCGCGTGTACGTGCTGTTACCCGCGTGTACGTGCGGTGTATCCGCGTGTACCGCGTGTACGTGCGTGTATCGCGTGTACGTGCGTGTACGTGCGTGTATCCGCGTGCACCCGCGTGTACGTGCGTGTACCGCCGCGCCACGTGCGTGTACCCGCGTGTACGTGCGTGTATACTGTGTGTAACGTCGCGCTGTATCTGCGTGTACGTGCGTGTACCCGCGTTTACGTGCGTGTACGTGCGGTGTACGTGCGTGTACGTACGTGTATCCGCTTGTACCCGCGTGTACGTGCGTGTACGTGCGTGTACGTGCGTGTACGTGCGTGTACCTGCGTGTGCGTGGTGTACCGCGTGTACGTTGCGTGTACCCGCGTGTACGTGCGTGTATCTGCGTGTACGTGTGTGTACGTGCGCGGGCTGTACCGCGTGTACGTGCGTGTACGTGCGTATCTGTGCGTGTACCTGCCGTGTACGTGTGTGTACGTGCGTGTACCGCCGTAGTACCCGCGTGCACGTGCGTGTACCCGCGTGTACGTGCGTGTATCTGCGTGTACGTGCGTGTACCGCAGTGCAACGCCGCTGCAACGCAAGTTAAGCATCACGTGACTCGCTTGACCTGCTGCCTATTGGTCGGTTACATAGAGCCGGTGTGAACTTGACACAGGCCACACCGCACACGCGTGTGGAATCTGCCCACACGTGGAAGAAAATATCAAAACCACGTGTGATATTTTCCACACGCAAGAAATCGCTGTGTTTGCACGCGCACACGAGTGTGTTTTGGTGCTGCGCCATCAGCCACGCGTGGCCGCATGGCGCAGCACAAACACACCGTGTGCGTGGCAGCTTACCAACACCACATATTGCTTTTTCTTCTTAGTTGCCATTGTATATGGCGTAGCGGCGATCTACGCGGTCGAATTCCACTGATGCTGCCATAATTTTTCCAGTGTCAGTACCACCCGACCCAGTGCTCGTGACAGCATTCGACCACACACACTTCTGGGAAGGAGTGGCACTGTGGACCATGTACGGTCGCCGTCTTCAGCATCAGTACCAGCTCATCATCTACGATCTAGGGCTTCACGCGTGGCAACGGCATTTGGTTAGCCTTGTTTACCGTTTGGTTCGATATTAGATGCTTGAAGCGAAATATAAATTCTCCATAGGATTTGGCTCACTGAGAAAACATTGGGGGACTATAACAACATCACCAGCAGCAAGAATTCATCGAACGATACACTTTCAACATTTCGAAAAATATTCTCTTGTTAGTTGTACTTTTGCAAACATTAACACAAGCGCAGACGCACGCACGCACGCACGCGCGCATATATTGAGTACATGACAGCATATCTGTGTGTAAAAGCGAATTAAAATTTATGTAGGCCTATGTGTTGTCAAGAATACACGGTCAAGATATTTTTTCTATTTCAGGTAAGGCACTTTTTTAAATTTCCATTCAGGATATTTAATTTCAATAAGTATCCCGCGCACGTCCGGAACCTTAAAAACTATGCATTCAAGGCAGCCGTGATACAGGTATGTATGTTTAGTGTTACTGAAAATATTTTACTAAAAAAATTGGTCATTTTAGTATACCTTTTTGGTAATTTGCACCATCAACATTACGTGCAGTTGTTACAATATTTTACTTGTTTTTTTCTCATATTTTTACATGAAGGATGATTTCCCGTTTATGCTTTGACATAGGATCTATCCGTTCTGCAACATTTATGGTAATGATTCTTACAGGAAACTCTGCAGGAATTCGGACACGTCTTCTGGGTAGACACATCGTTTCGGTTGCAAGGCAACGGAAGTTTAGACGCTTACGTGCAGGCGAATAAAGCGCATGCTGGGTTGACCGTCTGGCATATTGACGGGTTGCGGCAGGCTTGCTTTATCCATCAGGGGATGTTAGATTTTTTCGACGAAAGAGCGAAAGACTTCGTTGAATCGCCGGCCAACGAAGGTGGCGCCATCTTGGTGTACAATTACCCTGCCACGTACAGGGCGATAATGCTACCGTGGCTTGTCTGCAGCTTGGTGGAGAAGTGTATTTCGCCGAAAGGAGCGATATTGACTCCGTGCGATTTCAGTAACAAGTTTACGTCTAAACACTGCTGTCATCGCTACGATCAGAGTGCCATGGGACTGATACTGGAGAGAGTGTTCCATTTCGACACATCACTTTACAATTCGTCCACGACGCGTATACACACATTCGATCGCGTTTGATATAATCAAGGGTAGATAATGACAAATGATTTGTCATTATCTATCCCTGATATAATGGTCTCACAACTAAATGTATGGTGTCCATACATTTTACAACCGTATATTGTACAGTTACTTTCTGAGTAATATATATAAATCACTGGTATACAGACAGCAGTTTAATTTGCATGGTTTATAGGATAATGCAGCGATTCCCACGCCATGGGCTTAAACTGACGATTTCCACAAATGTCAGAGTAGGGCCTACAAACACGGATTGGATCGTTTGGCTTGTTATTATAGGAGATGGATGGGTGGATGGATGGATGGATGGACGGGCGGACGGATACACGCACCCCACACCCACATAAATCACTGGTATACAGACAGCAGTTTAATTTGCATGGTTTATAGGATAATGCAGCGATTCCCACGCCATGGGCTTAAACTGACGATTTCCACAAATGTCAGAGTAGGGCCTACAAACACGGATTGGATCGTTTGGCTTGTTATTATAGGAGATGGATGGGTGGATGGATGGATGGATGGACGGGCGGAAGGATACACGCACCCCACACCCACATACACACACACACACACACACACACACACAC